ATTATTGTTATAGATCAGGTTTGTTATAAAATAGGTAATATTAACAAAGTGAATGAAATTTATTAAAAAAGAAAAAAGACGAAAACCCTATTTTTTCTCACATTTATAATTTCATACTAATTTACAATTGATGATTACATTTCTTATACTATGCTTATTAATGATTTAAAATTACGTACTAATTTACAATTGATGATTACATTTCTTATGCTATACTTACATTTCTTATGCAACATACTTAATTAATAACAATCAAGCCACAGGCTTGAGTCACGGTACGTTCTTGAGCCCCTATATGTAATATTTTTTAAATATCAGGCACTTATATATAATTATTTTTAGTCCGGGCACTTATTTGTAATTATTTTCACTTTCTGGGCACCTATATATAAATTTCCCTAACATAATTATTGTGATCATAATTATCGTAATTGTTGTGACCATAATTATCATTATCATAATTATCATAATTGTTGTTATTATAATTATCGTAGTTGTTGTGACTATAATTATTATTATCATAATTATTATAATTGTTATTATCATCATGATCGTAATTATTGTGGTTATAATTATCATGATTATAATTATTATGATCGTAATTATCCTGATCATAATTATCTTGATTGTAATTATTGTGATCGTAATTTTCATTTTCATTAAAATTATTGTAATCATCTGGCACAATTATCATTTTTGAATTGTTTTCTGTAGTAAATTCAGAACTTTCTGAATTAAGGTTATTCTAATCAAAACTACTAGTGCTAGTATCTGAATTACATGTAAAATATTCCAAACTATTTGAATTAGAGCCATCTGAATTGGTTCCTTCCAAATCAGAACTATTACTAATTTTTGAACCCGACTCTTCATTATCATAATCATCATTGACATTTTCTTGTAAAATTATCACTGTATTATGATCATCTGACTTTTCATTATCATAATCATCATTACTATTTTCTTGTAAAATCATTGCTGTATTACGATCATCTGATTTTTCATTATCGTAATCGGTATTGTCATTTTCTTGTAAAATTATTGCTGTATTACAATCATTATGAGGCAATTGACCAAATACCAAATTGTAGGGTGTTGTCTTGTGAGCTGAGCAATACTGGTTATTCATAGCCCCGCATAATTAAATTGTTATTGCCAAAATTATAATAATATATAAATCGATTAATAAAAAAAGAAAAGAAACTTACATATCACAGATTTAAGACCAATACTCCAATCTGATCTACCAGTTTCTTCCATCCACGCACCTAACTTTGTTTGTAGTATATTATTCCCTTTTTCCACAAGTCATTGACATCGCAGATTTCTTGACCATCCATGAACCATTTTAATTGGCTGCCAGAAACTTAGCATATCTTTAAAAGTACTTCCAACAAACTCTCCTTCATTATCCGTATGAAGAATTGCCAGGGACTATAAATAAAGCAAAAGTTAAGAAAGGTTGTAGTAGCTTCTTCAGCTGATTTGGACTGTGCTGGTTCAGCATATGAAAAACGAGTGAAATGGTCTCTAATGTGGAATATATACTTGTATTCTTGATCAGAAATTGCTGTCATATTAATAGTATCAAACTATAACATATAAATTAATAATAATTTTTTTTTTTTTTT